CGTAATAAACGAAGAAAGACGTGATTTGAGAATGAAATGTGAGTTGAAATTAACTTTATATACCTCAAATTTTCCATTCTATGTTTCTTAATGTAACTTCAGCTGTTTAAGTTCAAAATACAAGCTCGCGAAATTTGACAAATTTTGAAAATATGTAAAAATAGCTTGACTTTGAACTGTATTTTCTCAAAAATAGCCTGTGGCCTCAATTTCAAATATAGCTAAATGAAAAGAAAAAACTTTTCGGCGTTTGTAGGTATCAAACATATCGTCAGGAAAATAGGGGCTCACAATGTTTTAGTTCAGTCTTTGAGACCCAGTTGCTTCGCACGTGTTGTGGTCAATTTTTTGCCAAGAATCAAAGGCCGAAATGTGAACTTCCTTCATGAAAACCGCTTCGAGAAGGGTCTAGTTTGAAAATTTAGCTATTAATTTCGATTTCATGAGCATATTTTGGTTACACGTTAAGTATTTTTGTGCTTGATGAGATTCAAAATTTGTTGTATATTCAAGTCCGGCTTTTGTGTAATTTTGGTGATGACGGGAACAGAAATAAAGATATTTTAAAAACTGGCCGTGGCCTCACGATAAAACTTTCTACAAATGTTCTCTGTTTCATGTACTTTTATTTGATATCTAAGGTATAAGCGTAAAAATAGGGGCTCATACAGTTTGAGAGGTTGTAAAATGCATGACTTGCCTCTATTTTCATGTAAACATTCGAAATTCTTCGACAGCAAAGTAGCAACTGTTTCAGATCGAATGCACACGGACAGCCCACCAGAGACAATGGCAGGGTACTGAAATAGAACGTCACTAAAAAATTCTGTATGATTAATTTAGATCATGTCCACTCTTTCAACATAAAACAGTCATTTACTTTGTACAAACATTTGGCAATATTTACACGATTGTGCCTTTTTGTATAAACACGCCTTGCGTGTATTCCACGCAATTGCGTGGCTCATTTTACTCGCGCATGCTCAGACAAATTTCCCACCTGTTCATGGCAGTAAGTTCGACTCCTGCCATAGGGCAATAGTTGCATTTTTCGAAACTGCTCCTGGTTAGATCCAAACATTTATATAAATTTTCGTTCAGCCGTGCAGTCTATGTATTCTTGCCGAGCATAACTGGAACCGTGCATTTGGCTATTCTGGTAATTGGTACGAATACACCCTGGAAATTTGGAAACACTCCCAAAATGTAAAATCTTAGCGAAATATCTAAGAACCTGCGCAGCTGGGGTACACAGTTATTCACCTATAGCAATGAAAGATTTTCGAAAAATGAGTGAACTTCCCAGGCTTTTAGCCAGAAGGGCGTCCAGGCGTCCTGGGACGCCCGCAGAACAAAAAATGGACGCCTTTGGACGCCCAATTTCTGGGAAGAAAGGGAAATTATTTTCAGTTAATTCTCTAAGTATATTAATATATCTGAAACGAAATAGCTTCAATTCTCATTATTATTATACGTTTGACATTTTGATCAATTTGATGGTGTACCTGGCTGAATGAAAATGTCATAGTTAAGTAAAGAAGCATAGCGGCACAAACTCACAAAGCCAAGTGTGTTTGAAAAATTTCGAACAAACTTGGAACAGATACTGACATGAAGTAACGCAAATTTTAAGGTTTTCCAGAGGAACGTTTTCTCGACCCCCCCCCCCTTACTGTAGATGTATCGTTGTACCCAAATTGGACGCCCTCTTTTAGGACCCTGGCTAAAAACCTGGAATTTCGTACTTTAGTCATATAGAACTCAATGGCCATTATCGAAATACGAAATTCTGTACCTGAGAGTTACCCAACCTTAAATCACTTGGTGGTTCATTGACACCGAGGACATGTAGGATAAATGTTTTGTTGAGGGTCAATTGTGGATACCCACTGTCTTGCGTCATTATCACCAGTTTGAAATGTGTGACAGTCTCGTAGTCGATGTGAGATGCTATTATTAATCTCCCGGATGTGGGCTCCAACTCAAATGCTGTCTGATAACCAGGAATGCTAGAGAAACGAAGATCATAAAAATTAAGCAATAAATGTTGTACAATCCAATCTTGAAGGGCAGTTCAAACAGTATTCGTACTATAACAGTATTCTTACTACAGGGGGAGTTTAGAATATGTTTTATTATATGTACAAGAGATTTATAAATCAAGCGAATTACCTGTTCGAGCCGTAACCAACTGCAGTAATATCGGTTATGAGAAAGCGATGCGTTTGACCAGTGTCCTCATCAACTGCAGTGAATACAGCAACAGATGAGCCCAGGTTACTGTTCTCAGACACAACCAGCGGTATGCTTGTCAATATATCAGTCGGTCGATCATTTGTGTCTCTGACAGTGATTCTGAAGTCCTGAGTTAAATTGAGACCTGCAAATCGACAGAAATAAAACGTTCTTAGCTGATTACGTGAGGGCCTGTGCGTACGATCCAGCTTCCAAAACGACAGCAGTCCACAATAGTGGAATACCATTGCTGTATTGAAATGAGTCAACAAGTATAACACAAAACTCAAGCGATGCTGAATCAACTGAACGTTATTAAGGCGGCTGGCACTGTTCGTTTGAACAAACAATTTTATTAAAATGTGTGAAGAGTGTTTAAAACCTCTTCGGCCATTAATCAATGCACAAAAAAGTCGAATAAAAAAGTCAATACGTGTGAAAAAAAAGTCAATACTCAGTGTGTAGTTTGTCTTTAAAATAAAATACATAAAGTACTGGTTTCTGAAAGGCACTCATAGGGGCGCCGGAAAGTCGATAATTGAGGGGCAGATATTCATATATTCATGTTCTGCATCATTTATTTCCTTTGAAAGCGATTGTTTTTACAGTCTGTGAACATGAATATATGAATATCTGCCCCCCCCCCCCCAAATTATCAACTTTCCGGCGCCCCTGGGCACTCAAGCTACGAGTTAGAACAAGAAACACAATTGCATATACAAAAACTCGACTCCAACATTCTTTTGTGCCATCAGTCCAATCACGTTTCATACCAAGACATGTCAGACACATATACCAACTGAGTTACGGTTTTGAATACCTTGGGCTTAGAAAGATCATGTGGTACCAGGAAAAAGTAAGTACGCAGATAGCGATAGTTCCGCGTACCCACATGGTACTGGGCAGAAAACAAAGAATGGATGATTCCTGCAGCTATAGACTAAATGTTGATCTAGGCAAGAAGAACAAAATCCATCACCACAGCTAGAAAGAGCATGTTAAAATTAATAAAATTAAAAAGTTTGGCCGCGAAATGTTGTAAAATGCGGAAAATATAGCCCTGTGAAATTTGCAAACTTTGTATTAATTTGTATTACGCGTGGAAAAATGCACCACATTTGGGCCGAAAGTGGATTTGATGGATTTTGTTTTTCTTTGCCGAGATCAAAATTTAGCCTATAGCTAGAATCATCTATTGCCATACCATAATATTCATGCACCCTGAAATAATCTCCGCATTCTTTTAAATAAGGCAGACATCTTTTTTGTTGCCATTGCCATTAAATACATGGAAATCGACCTATTATCCTTACCTCCTTGATCAACGGTTTTAATCATCAAATCCCACGAGCTTTTCTTCTCATAATCCAAACTTGCGTTCGTCCTCAGTTGGTTACCACTAATATAGAACACATTTTCCTCACTCGCTGAGACCAAGGAATAATTAAACGACTGCGCCTTATCCGGGTCTTTGGTGCTTAATTCCCCTACGAACAACGGACCCCCGTTCTCAGGCACCACGGCATTCGACAACATAATCCGCTCCGGCCTTTCGTTGACGTCAAGAACTTGAATCTCGAATGATTTTTGTATAGCTAACGGCTTTGAACCCGAATCAGTGCATTGGATTATAATACTATGACGGCTGAGGAACTCGTGATTTAAGTCTCCCGTAGACACTTGCAGTGTGTTGGTCTTACTTATGGGGATCTTGAAGCGATCTTGCGCGGAGTCAACGAGCTGACAGCTGTGGGTTTGCCAGACGCCATTCGGTCCGTGGTTATCGGGGTCGTCAATGGAGATATTGGCGACAAACGTTCCAGGCTGGCTATTTTCAGGAATAGACAAACCACTGAGGGTTATATTATTGGGTGATTCGTTTACGTCTTCGACCTGAAAGGAAAGGAAATATTTTATCACTATGAAGGTACGCCAAGGGCTTAAAGGGTATGCTAAAAGATCGTCTCGTGGAGGGTATGATGGGAGGGGAGGTTCGAACCCTCCAAAACGCAGTTGTGTGAGCTTTTAACTCAGTATGATCACGCTAAACACTGAAGGTTTTATCTTGATACTCTGGTTTCCATCTGCAGTGAAACTGAATCACCACGGGTTGGAGTCAAGGAAAAGATGCAACTTTTCAAAGGAAGTAGCACTGATGGCACAGTAATTAGTCCATATGCACCTCTTCCACCACAGTTTAAAACTGTGCTTCCACCAATTCCTATCTTTACTGAACCACAAGGAAGTTTTAGACTGGATAGCTCCACCATTTTCCCCTAGTGGTCTAGTAAGAGCCATCTCTTACTGGCTCAGTGTTAACCACCGATCAAACGAGGATGACAATGAGAGTTGAAATACTCACTCCAACCAACTCTCATCGACTCTCATCAACTCACATCATCTTTGAGCTGGTTCAAGTTTTGATGAGAGTTGATGAAAGTTTTTGATACGCGCGGTAATATCCAGGCAATTCTCATGCAACTCTTGTTCTACCGTTTTACCGAGACTCATACGCCGGTATTCTAAAAGCTCACTCACACTCAAAGAGTGAATGTTCAATCTGAGCTTCTCTTGAGTGTCAATGCTGTTTTTGAATAGCTGGAGGGTTAGTGTCGTACCTTACTATGTGACTACTAACCCTCTAGCTATCAAAAAGCAGCAATGACACTCAAGAGAAGCTCAGATTGAACCTCCACTCTTTGAGTGTGAGTGAGCTTTCAGAATACAAGCGTTATTCTCGACGTTTGATCAGGACTTCACTACAGAAGGAAACGGGAGTATAATTAGGCGAAATTATGATTAAACAATTGACCATTTGCTACGCAAATCTAGACAAAAAATTTCAGCACGGCTTGAAGGAGCATCACAAAATTAGTAATATTCCAAAGTTTCGTTGCAAAATGTTGTAAAATGCGGAAAATATAGCCTTGCGAAATTTGCAATTTTCAGTCATTTTAGATTACAAACGGGAAATTGACAGCCCCAAACCCTTCGAGGCTGTCAATTTCCGGTTTGTAATCTAAAATGGCTGAAAATTGCAAATTTCGCAAGGCTATATTTTCCGCATTTTACAACATTTTGCAACGAAACTTTGGAATATTACTGATTTTGTGATGCTCTTTCAAGCTGTGCTGAAATTTTTGTTGAGATCAAAATTTAGTCTATTACGCAAATGGTCAATTGTATGTCGCAGAGATGGAAGACACGTGCGCTAACCTCTGTGTCATCTACATTCACTCAGAACATAGATATCTTATATACACTAGATAGCGCATCTCTTTTAGTAAAATTGAAGCCAAGAATATTCCAGCGGTTACCCGCATTTGAATAGATGGCGGCCATGTTGGAGTTTCCCACTCGCTAATAAACGCTTTAAAAAACAACAATAACTTTCATCATTTGAATAGTTTGAAAATGTATTTGGAATAGGTTTAACTTAATGTTTAAGTTCCCTGTTTAAGAAATAGAAAACATACGAGTCTTCTCATTTCATGGGAATATCCTGAGTCTGCAATCACGGCATCAATTTTTGAATTGCAGAATAATTAGATGCACTATCTAGTGTATATAAGATATCTATGATTCAGAGCTGTAAAAGTTATACTTAGTTTTGAACTAGTTACGAAATACAGTTACATGCTCAAAAAGGAACAAGTTCCCGGTAAAAGTTACCACGTGCAAAATGTAACAACAGTAGTTTTTTGTAACTAGTTAAAAAGTTACTTTCAACTTGTTTAAAGTTACATCTGCAGGTTTTATTACATCACATATTGACAATGAATTCAATTACATTACTGTAAAAATAGAATATTCCTTACAGTAATTCCATACATTAGAACTTACCATAACAGTTAAATTTTGTTCTACACTGAGCGGCGGACTACCGTTATCTGTAGAAACCACGACAATTTCAAACTCTTGCTGCTTTTCGTAATTCAAATTCGCCTCTAGTGACGTGTACAGCTTGCTTCCTTTTATGGTGAACCTCGTACTACCTTTCAGAGCGTAGGCATGGGACTGGGACACATCTTCGTCACTAGTTACCAGTTCCCCAATCAGTTCATCGTTCGCGTTCTCTTTGACCCGACCGGATAAAGATCCCTGTATGGTCACATTCTCCGGTGGATCATTTTGATCTATTAGGGTAATCGTAAAGTTATTGACACGAGAATGGTTACCATCGGAGACTTCTACAATGATTTCGTGGCTTGATATATGTTCGTAATTTAGGCTTCCACTAACTAGAAGTTTACAGGAACAATTTGTTTTGACATGAGGATCTGAAGTTCTGCTATGGCAAATTGTTGTGTTATCTTCGATTGAAAAGCGGCCACCTGAAATGCAAAAGTAAAAGTTTAAAATGCTATAGTGCAACGGAAACTTCATATACTCACTTTTTTACCGTAAATAAAAAGTATACCTTTCTTCCAGACATGTTTATCGGAAACAAATTGACCTTCCAAAGTTATGATTTTGTCACTTTGATCGGTGATGTTCGTGATGTCATAAGATGAACACGATTTTATCATGGAGTATTAAACTTGTAGTGAAATTATTTAATTAACGTGGAGAAGAATTAAGGGGGTACAAACTTAGGAAATCTGGGTCCAAACTTAGGTTATTGCGCCAATTGTTAACAAACTGAAGGAATAACCACGCATCTATTTCCCCAAAAAAGAAACAGATCCACAGAGCGGAAGAAAGTCGGTGAATTTTGTCAGTAAACATCCACACAAAGATTCATATACTATTCATGTCCTTAGTCATTTACTCCGAAAACAGTTTAGGGCTGATAGGGTTCTCTAGTATATATAAAGTGAGTCCTTTTTACTATATTTTAGCTTTACTTTAGCATTGAATTCACATGTAGATAATACAGTATTCCTACCTGCATCATCATCCAGTGTGAATTTCAAATGTTGCCCAGCATCTTCATCGAGCGAAACCAAAGTTCCAACTGTTGTTCCGATGGCAGAATTCTCGTAAATTGTCGGATGGTCGTCGGAATACGATTGCTGACCGCCAGCCGAAGTTAAAGTTGTATTTAACGGAGCTTCCTGGACATTTTTAATGATGATCGTGAACCGCTTTTCCATCTGAAAAAAGAAATAATAGTCAATCAATACAAAGACTGAAGGTTCAAAACAAACAATTGAACGGTTTTTGTAGATGAAAGAAATTCAAATGGAAGATTATATACAAGTTTCAGACCTAACCAGGAACAGTTACGAAAAATGCAACTATATAGGCCCTCTAGAAGTAATCCAATCTGCGGCCCTGCGATTCTGGTGCAGTGCTCGAACCAACTGAGCTACAGAGTCCAAGCACCCCTGTCCCCCTCCCCCCTTTCTTCAGCATTTACTCTGCTACTTTACTCGGCATTGACTCTGCTACGAACTCTTCGAATAATGCTTCCTGAGTTATCATATGAAGAGAGGCTTTGGTGGAATGTAATCCTAAAACTCCAAAAAGCCGTAGAGAAGATATGTGTATTAACCTTATAAAGTCATTGATCACCCTGGTCATAAACTGCATAATTTGTTGCCACCCAAAGTTTATGAAATTAGGAGTAAAGAAACAAGATTAAGTGGAGAAATGTTTTTATAATTTTAACTGTCAGACACGTTTTAAAAATAGTGCAATTGTCTATGGAATTGAACAATATAATAAAGTTTAGTATTCTTGTAAATAGACTAGTGCACAGGATTTATATATTTTTTTCATTTTTAACTGTAATTCGCATTATAATGTAGTATCATTTAATTGCTAAAATAATAAAAAACAATACTTACCCAATCTACAGGAACTCCGTTGTCTGCGACCTTCACTGTCACATGTTCAACGCTCGACTCCTCATGATTTATCGGCTTAGCCACGAACAAACGACCGTTCGACTCAACTCCAAACAGCCCACGACCGCCTTGAACTAAAGTATAATTCAGCCTCTGCCCTTTATCTTCGTCAGATGCCGTGAAATAACCCACACTAGTATTGATAGCCGCATTTTCTAGTACCCAGTACTTTGACAGCGCGAGATCACGTGGCTGATCGTTGACATCATTAAGCGTGATATTAATATCCATGGTCAGTTGCAATGGAGGCGTCCCATCGTCCGTAGTGCGCACACGTATTGTGTAAACATTGTTGCCTTCGTAATTGAACTGGCAGCTTTTTCCACCGTGAATTCGGCAGTTCGTGTTCGAGATAGCTACTCTGATTTCGGAGTTGTTAACCAGTTTAAATCTACCGGCAGCACTGTCTAGCAATGTGAAACTATGCATTTGACCAAGGTCTTCATCTGTTGCACTAAGTTTGCCCACCCACTGTCCTTCTTTAGGATTTTCGTTGATGTTGTTTGGAGAAAGACTGATTTTTGACGGAATCTCGTTTAGATCTAGAATAATAAAGAAACTGGTGTCAATTTTACGTATAGTACACCATGGATTGTAAAATAACTGGATAGGAAACGTCACGCGTATTGCGAATGTTACCAAAGTTCTCGGCATATTTGTTGTTTTGCTATATTTTCCACTTTAAAAGGGTGATCTTGAAGCGTAAACTGGTCTAATTGTTTTAAAAACATGCCTAAGCCACGACAAAGTATTCAAGGTAAATGTTTTTCGTCTTTGTTTTGTATTTTTTTACATTTGTAGCTACGAAATTGGCGTCACAAATTTTAACGAAATTTGCGATGTATTTTTCACTGTTTAGTGCTTGAAATATTTGCTAAAATTGACTGGGAATACTTAGAATTTTCATCGTAGAATGGCGTGGTTACATTTATTTGCTCTTTGACTAAAATGTTTAGCTGTATTATTGCTAAACATGCCGTTTTTGAGAATTTGATTTTCAACTAGGTTGAGGCATCCAACCACGCCATCAATTCCAGTAAAAACATTAGGTCACGTCAGCTAGTTTCCTATCCATTTATTTTATTATCCATGAGTACACTTACACTTTGTTTTGACCAAATCCATCTGATTGGTTTATTTCTTGTCACGTGATCGCTTTTATATTCACTAATATAAAAGGAGTGTTCTTTGGGTTCTGGTAACAGTTCGTTTAATTTATTATTTTCGTCTTGGACAATCGATTGATATAATTTATAACAGAGTTCTTGTCTGCGTTTTGCCAACTGAGTCACAGAGTCTAGTAGTTTGACTATGCTAATTTGCAAGGGTGGGTAGTAGCGAAGTAGTTGTAGTTCGCTACTGTAGCGAACTACAATTTTCAAGTAGCCAGTAGTTTCTGACTACTTTTTTAAAACAGTAGCTGTAGTTATAGCGAACTACATTTTGCCTAAAAATAGCCAAGTAGTTGACTACTTTTCAAACAGCGAATCGCTATTCGCTACTTTTTTAAATGTAGAACTTGATAGAATAGCTCAATATTGAGACAACGGTTTGCTTATAAAGTCAATCCTCAATAGTCAATTTGCACTCCCGAACACTGTAGTGCTTACAAAAATGTTGCTTTGTGTTTACTGTTGCTACTCGTAGTAAGTCGATTTGTTATTAGGTTACATTACAGCCTGAGTTATAGATGCTCCAATTCCTCCAAATACAGTAAGCCTAAAAAATATAGCGTGTAGCGAAATAGCGAAATAGTTCGCTACATTTTTTAAGCAGTAGCTGTAGTCAAAAGTAGCAGTAGTTGTAGCTGACTACATATTTTTGAAGTAGCTGTAGTTATAGCGAACTACAAAAATTTTGTAGTCAACCCACCCTTGCTAATTTGCCGGAGATTTTAGTCACCACCAAATCATACAAACCCCTTCCGCCGCCACTACTAGCATGTATTCAGTATAGAGGCCAACAAACAAAAAAACACTGCAACCCAGTGCCTGGTGCTAAAATCGAGGCCTGGTTGTTTTACTGACCTTGTACAGAAATGACAAAACTGCGGTCCACAGTCATAGCAGGATTTCCATTATCTCGAGACTGTATGGTAATGTTCCACGATGAGGCAGCTTCATAGTCCAGCGCTCGTGTGGTGTTCAAACGATCTCCTTGATGAATTTTGAACGGGAAGTCTCCGCTTGGGACTGAAACAAGCTGATATGAAAAATTCTGCCGGGCGCTATTGAACTCGTTGTCAGGATCGATGGTTGAGATTGTTGCTAAACACAGACAAAATGAAAAATAGATCAACAAGTCCTGTTAACACGAGACCAGGAGGTGCATTGGAAAAATTATACTGTCCTGAACTGAGGCCATTGGAAATTCCCCTTCTAGCTTTTAACCTCACCAAAATTGAAATAATTTCACTCAAGAAATTTTAATTACAGTACGCACATGGGTGGAATGGAAATATAAAACTAAAACTTATTTCAAACGTAGAATGAAATAAAAGCAGGATAACGGTACATGGAGAGAAATTTGGTGGCTGCTTTCTGAACCAAAGCCACTATCGCCAAATCTCAGCACAAACGAAAAAAAAAATACGCTAATGAAACACGACTGAAAACCGGACAAGATCGTAAATGGATGATTCCAGGCTATAGACGAAATTTTGATCTGGACATAAAGAACGAAATGCATTACCACAGCTGGAAAGAACATCTTAAAATGAGTAAAATTGCAAAGTTTGTATATATTTGCATTACGCGCGGGAAAAAAATTTTTGAGTCGAAAGTGGTTATTTTTATCGCGCGTAATACAAATATATGCAAAATTTGCGAACTTCACAGGGCTATATTTTCTTCATTTTACAACATTTAGCAACCAATCTTTGTAGTTTTACTCATTCTAAGACGTTCTTTCGATCTAGCTGTAGTGTTGGAGTTCGTTCTTCTTGCCTTGATCAAAATTTAGTCTGTACATGGAATCACCCATGGGCTGCAGAATGCGTTAATTAACTTCATGAGAAACTTTAAACATACCGATTACTCCACTGTCTTGATTCTCAAGAACACTCAGGCTTGACAAAATAATATCGCTTGGTGCTTCATTCCTGTCTTTGACACTCACAGTAAACTCTTCCTTATATTTCAATCTCGGCGTCCCCGAATCAGTACATTCTATCGAAACATTAAGAAACGGTGTCCTTTCAAAATCGAGAGCCGCACTGCTTACTAATCTTCCCGAATAGATCCTAAACTTATTCTGAGCAACCACAACACAAGAATGGGTTTGTCTTGGCCTAACCAGGTTATCTGGATCATCGACCGTGAGGTTGGCTATAACTGTTCCTGGAGACGAGTTTTCATATATTTCTTTACTGGACAGTGTTATCTTCGTTGGCGCTTCGTTGACGTCCGCGACTACGATCGTAAAGTTCCGTGTGACTTCGTAAGCGGGCACTCCATTGTCACGTGACTTCACACTAAGAATATACGCAGACTTGTTCTCGTAGTTTAAGTGTGAAGCTTCGTCGATATAAATATTTTTACCGATAACCTTAAATAATTGCCCAAAATCATTTACCAGATAATAGGTCCAGTTTTGGGCGCTATCTTCGTCGCTCGTTTCCAGTTCCCCAACAAACGCGCCGTCAGAATTTTCATGAACAACTGCTGACATACCGCCACCCAATGTGATGTCCGTGGGCGCATCGTTGCAGTCAAGAACGTTGATAGTAAATTTCTGCACGTGAAATAGACCATGGGTGTCTGTCACACGAACTGTAATATACCGTACTGTATTTATCTCGTAATTTAGAGGCTTAGACAATACCAGTTTTGTAGTACACCTTGTTTTATTTTGGTCGTTTGCAATGGATTGGCATCGCGAATTCGAGAGCTGCAACGAGAATTCGCCTTCCGAATCATCGTCCAGTGTAAACTTGAGATCTTGATTAGCGTCAGAATCCAGGGCAACAAGCGTTCCCACAATGTTTCCGGTCGTGGTGTTTTCAAACACTTCCGGGACCTGGGTATCAGTGAAGTTAACGGCAATAGGAGCTTCGTTGATATTCAGCACTTCGATGGTAAAATTTCGTTCAAGCTGTAAAAGAAGGAATAGCAATGAACTAAGTAATAAATATGACATATGACGTTTGTGGTATGTTTATACAAGCATGGTTTTAAGAAATAGAAAACAAGTCGCGTGCGCTTATGGTGTGTTAATGCCAGTGAACTCAATTTATTTCCCTTTATCATGTAAAATAAATCGAGTTCGCTGGATAATGCACGTGGGGAATTTAAAAATGGTCCATAATCTATTAAATGATCACATCTACACCAGCTTATAAACCTTAATTGTTCTTATATTTAGATATTGTAAATAAGTATAATTTAGTTCATTAGTGATAAGTTTATTCTCTTCTTATAGTATGTTTAAAGATCATTACTACTAATAATAATAATGTTGGGAGAATACGAGAGAAGCATGTAAAACACGAGACGTAGACGAGAATTGGAAATTAAACTTAATAAACTTGAAGTTTTTCAGCGTTGTGATTTTTTTAACAATCTAATCAAAGTAGTGGGACACTTTGTTGCATAAAAAATTTACCTTCAATGCATTATAACCATTGTCAACAACAGCTACCGTGATAAAATGTCGTTTATCAGCCTCATGATCGAGCGACGTCGCTGTGACCAACTGATCACCGTTCAAAGCAAACCTTCCTCCGTCGTCATTAACCAATGAGAAGCTTAGTTTTTGTCTTCTGTCCTCGTCACGTGCTGTGAAAGAACCAATGACAGTTCCTAAAGTCGCATTCTCGGCTACCACGTCATTGGTGCAGCTGAGGTCACGTGGTCGGTCGTTGTCGTCGTTAAGGTAGATGGTGAACGTTTGGTCAAAAATTTTAGCGGGATTGCCATTATCCGTTGTTCTGATAGTGATATTATAACTCGCCTGAGCCTCGAAGTTTAGTTGACATGAAGTACTTCCACGCCGAAGGCAAAGTGTGTTTGATATTGCGACCTTTATTGAAAATAAACACAAACGAGTGTTAATATAGGGTCCCTTTCGATCAGTAATACCATACTAAACTATATATTAAACTAGCTTTTGATAACCATCATCATAGAGGTGGCTGGCCATCATTACTGTTATTACAGGAAGAAACCTAAGCTAAACTAACTACACTTATCCAGGATGGCTGTATCAGTTCAGGGTGTTAGCTAGCCCATATACTGTCCGTTTGACAGACTCTTCCCAATTGAAGTAGCTAAGGGGCTTTCCCAACTGGGTTTACTGGAAGATTTTCATTTTCTTCTGATGAGAAAGTGCATTGCGTTTGATTTTATATTATTATATCAAAGAACGCTTTATTTACTTTTCCCCATTAACTATTTTCTCAAAATGTATCGTGTGTCATTCATATTCGGTGTGTATTCACTGAAATGAACAAAACAAAGTGTAATCGGTGTGCATCCGTGTTCATTCACCGGAAATGAAATATAGAAAACGAAGTGCCATCGGGTGCATTTTTCAGTGTTCATTCGCCGGAAATGAAATGTACAAAACCAAGCTACCGTTGTTTGCATCTAAGGAGAAACACGTTGGAAAAAAAACACTATTTATTCCTACACAAGGACTTTGATCGGCCCAAAAACAAACTTTCCCAATTTACGTTTAACGGACAAAACTTTTTTCTGGCTAACACCCTGCAGTTCTAAACTGTTATTCCAAGAAATGCAGTAAGGCAGCTCTTATCAGTCCAGCGTTACCACCCTGAGTAGCCTGCGCTGTTTGGTAGGGTCATACCATGGATAGCAAAACGAGTGTATAGACTTAACTACTGTTTAACCACAAAATAGAGGTTACAAAGTAGTTAAGAGTTTATAAAACCTGCCCCAGTTTTTAACTATTCATGGTCAAACTGAAAGCACTCTCCAGCATGTCAGAAGCGAACTAGATATTGCAGCAACCAAATCGTTCGCACAAATGCGAACTTTAACCACTTTCTTTCTTATTACCTTAACTATACTTCCATCGATCTTGAAGCGACCACCAGCACTACTGATCAGTTTATACGTATGATTTTGGCCAATGTCTTCGTCACTCGTTGCTAGATTACCAACGACAGTATCAGCCGCACTGTTTTCTTTTACTTGAACGTTTGAGAGCTAGAATAAACAAAACACATTCAGTTGTTAAGTTTGCTATAGACTAGGGGTCGGTTGTTCAAAACTGGATTAACCCTGGGTTAAAATATCGCCCGCTGTTTTGGTTTATATCAGGGTTTTGGCCATCTCAGTCGATAGAATTAATTATTGAAGGGTTTTGTAGATGGAAATTGTGATTTTTCTACATTTCTTAGACCTACTGTAACAAGAAGTAGTTGGGAAAATGCAACTAAAGGCCCTCTGGCAGGAATTGAACCTGCGCCTGCGGCCCTGACATTTCAGTACAGCGCTGGGTTAGCACTATTTTCCATCCAGCAAACTGACCTGAAGTCATTTTCGGAAGATGGAAGAGGTGCTGATTGTTGAATGGCTACGTAACTGAACCAAACCCTACCCCTACTCTAACCCCTAACCCTAACCGCAACCCTAACTCTATCCCTAACCGAATTAATAAAAAATAATCCAAAAAGAAAGACTTTAAAAAATCGATAGGGCGGTTTGCTGGATGGAAAATAGTTCTAACCCTACAGCGTTCAGTTGCTGAGCAACCCTCAACGACTGGTCTCTGTATATATTCCACCTATAAAAAACCATCTAGCATTATTTGCTTGGTCTACTTCTCACCTGTATTGCAAAAGGTCTATCATTCCCGTCCAACACATCAATCGTAAAACTTTCATCACGATACAATGAAGGATTCCCATCATCTTGAGCCCGCACTACAACAGCCCACGACCTAGCATTCTCATAATTAAGACTCCTGGTCGTACTCAAAACACTACCACTGATTTCAAATGGACTGGAACCAACAGACCTCAACGTATAATTGAAACTCTGTTTTGATTGGTTGTTCGCATTGTCCGGGTCTTGCGTAGTTAGGACGGCTACGACCGTTGGTCTAAGATTTTCCAAAATTTGAGTCTTAGACAGAGCCACCTTAAGTGGCGCCTCATTTACATCCGTCACAAATACATCGAAGTCTGTTTCATTACTCAATCCACCAGGGTCGCTACAAAGCACGCTAATTTTATGCGAAGCGGCTTGCTCGTAGTCTAAAGAGTCGACAGCTTGGGTTAGATAATTTTGTCCACTTTTTAAAACGATTTGAAATTTTCCCTGGGCCGAGTTGGTTAGGCGACAAATATGAGATTGTCTTCCCGGAAAATTATCGTAATTATCAGGATCATCGACGGTAAAATTCCCAAAAATTGTTCCCGAAGCGCTATTCTCTGCTATATATGCATTGCTTAGGGATATCCCAGCTGGAGTTTCGTTTATGTCTGTCACGTGAACAGTCAATGATTGGGGTGGTGACGTCATCGGAGGTGATCCATCGTCAGTGGACGTTACCGTGACAACATATTTGTTTTTCTTTTCAAAGTCTAACGGACTATCCTTAACGTACAAAAATCGGCGTCGTTTTACTTCGAAGATGTTTGAGTTGCGCAGTAGTTTATAATTATGGTTCTGATTTCCATCTTCGTCGCTAGTCATCAGTTCTCCAATGAACGCACTCGGGCTGTTCTCAGCAACACTAGCTTCCACGCCGCCAGAAATTGTTACATTGCTCGGTCGATCGTTGTTATCTTTAACGGTAATGTTAAAATTTTGAATTATAAACAAACCATGTTGATCGGTCACTCGAACTGCGATTTCTAAAACTGGTGTAACCTCGTGGTCTAATTGACCTGTGACTTTCACTTTCGTTGTGCATACTGTATTTGCCCCGTGGGTACAAACTGCCGGTGTTAGTGAGAACGACTGCAAAGGATTGATGTCTAACTTGAAAGTGAGGTTCTGTGAACTATCATCATCTGTAGCTTGTAACGTTCCCACCACAGTACCAACAGTTGAATTTTCATTTACGTGCACATAATCTTGTGAGAAAGACAGCTGACCATCTTTGTCAGTGAAATGAATACTGATCGGGGGCTCGTTCACATTTAATACTTCGATTACAAACGATTTGTCCATCTGTGAAGGGAAATTGGTGAAAAGAATGATTTCGTTAAAGTGCCACTATAACCCCAAATACCGAATACGAACTTTGGTATGTGTGATATTTGGGTCATTCTAAGACATAGAACAGATTCTTGCAGTAAAGAACCTCATCTTGATCAACTTTTCCACTCTCAAACTTTCCGGGTACAATGTCAGTAGATGAATATTTGGAGAAAAAAACAAAAGGAAAACTAACTTGCAATTCATCTAATGACGTCATAGCCGGAAACTTTTGACAGTGAAAATGCTTAAGCAACCTAATTTGCGCACCCCCCCCCCATATTTCGCGAAGTGTCCACCAGTACTTATTGTATTTCTGACGGGGATAGAACTGGTGAACCCCTCCTCAAATTAATACCGTACCAATGTGTACACAGTCTTTAAAATAAAGCACATAAAGTACAGCTTTCTGAAAGGTATTCAAGTTTTCCATACAGACGAACAAAGTTTGTACTTTGACAATTTTTTCTATGACAAGTGCACTTGTTCAAAAGCTAGCATGCCAGCCTTTGAACAAGTGCACTTGTCATAGAAAAAATTGTGAAAGTACAAACTTTGTTCGTCTGTATGGAAAACTTGTCAAAGTAATCTGAGCATTAGATGTGATTGGCCAGCGTTCGCGTTGTCCGCTGTACTATTACATTGCTGGCTACTAATAAATTGTCAAAGTAAACTTGTTGACACGTTCACACCAGTAAATAAAACTTGTCATATGAAAATTTGTCATAGAAAATTTGTTGCATATACACACGTGCACTTGGCAAATAAAACTTGTCACATAAAAACTTGTCTTACAAAACTTGCTTGTCTGTAACCGGCTTTACACATATACCAACTGAGTTACGGTTTTGAATACCTTGGGCTTGGAAAGATCATGTGGTACCAGCAGATAGCAAGAGTTCCACGTACCTACGTGGTACTTGGCTGATCACAGGCGGCCCAATCTCGCAAGGGTCAGTATAGACTTATAGTATAAATGTATATTATATTAATGTATATTATAGTAAAAATATGTCATAAAATATAAATTTTAAAATGAAATTGACTTGCCTATTTGATAGTGTGTGTTCTCCTTGTATTCCTCCTTTGTTGGACTAATATTTTCCGAGACTTTGTACTCGATGTTACTAGTATACATGAAACATGATAAAGGCTAACGATACCCAATCGTCGATACGACCGCACGGCACTTCGAATCGAAAATTCTCACACTCAAATCGCTTTATTCTCCAAAACAATTCGCCAGCATGTACAACAAATGCGGTTCTTCGAAAATACGGAGGTACTTCGGCGAGATGTACAAGTTTTGGACCATATTTTAACAATGGAAATCAAAACCCATTTTATATTGAACTTGCCCAGGCCGAAAATTACTACGGCGAACGTCTGCGCAACCAGGCCTCCTTTACCATTGGATTTACAGGGGGGAGGTTGCCACTAATATATTAACGATCATATTTCGAATTAAAGTATCATATTCTACCATGCTTTCCAACAAAGAGCCGCTGTATATTTCTTCTTCCTTAAATTCCTACAATCTCCGTCGTTTAGTTTTCTTTTCTTCGACAACATCTCGAGTTTTATACAGTATCCGATCGAAGGAGTTTTTATTTTGAATATCAAATTTCAAATAATGTAAACAGTCGCTATCACGGTTGCGATTGGCTGGCTGTTACCGGAAATATCTGCTTCCCCCCCTGTAAATCCAACGGTAAAGGAGGCCTGGTTGCGCAGACGTTCGCCGTAGTAATTTTCGGTCCGGGTAAGTTCAATATAAAATGGGTTTTGATTTCCATTGTTAAAATATGGTCCAAAACTTGCACATCTCGCCGAAGTACCTCCGTATTTTCGAAGAACGGCATTTGTTGTACATGCTGGCGAATTGTTTTGGAGAATAAAGCGATTTGAGTGTGAGAATTTTCGATTCGAAGTGCCGTGGGAATCGTTAGCCTTTATCATGTTTCATGTATACTAGTAACATCGAGTACAAAGTCTCGGAAAATATTAGTCCAACAAAGGAGGAATACAAGGAGAACACACACTATCAAATAGGCAAGTCAATTTCATTTTAAAATTTATATTTTATGACATATTTTTACTATACTATACATTACTATAATATACATTTATACTATAAGTCTATACTGACCCTTGCGAGATTGGGCCGCCTGTGGGCTGATGTACCAGACCGTAATACTGGCGTACCTCCGGAACGTAAGTACGTTAAATGTCATACCTAGCCTGCGAACAGGCTCACAAGCTGAATTGAGATCCTGCATCGATGACTAATGAATTTGAATATCTGCGTCTCAAATCGTGACGCGAAATTCTCATTGGTCAGATGCTATAGTTTATATGTTTCCGCTGAGCTCTATATACGTCAACTACTGAAGCACTATGCATAAAAAACACATTAACTGATCAAATTGGTCTTGGACATCTTATCTCAAAGCACGAAATCAGTTCTGTTTTGAGAAAACAGTTTTTAAAACATTTGAACTTTTCTTGAATATCTTATATTTCGAAAAACAGTATAAACTGTACGGTCTAAATTTAGTTTGCACGGTCTAAATTTAGTTTGCACGAAAGTTGTAAACAACACCATATAAGGATAGACATTCCATATTTGGGAAAACGAACGTTACGGGGCAGATATTCAAATTCATTAATCATCGATGCAGTCTCTCAATTCAGCTTGAGAGCCTGTTCGCAGGCTATGTCATACCCTGCCCTCCCTACAAAGAATACCAACCTTTTTCATCGGTCTGCCATTATCTTTCACCACAGCAGTTATTGTATGAGTCGTGTTTATCTCATAATCAGTTTCCAAAACCTTCGTCAAATATCCGTCCAAACTAACTGCAAATCTACCTTGATCACTATCCGATAAGTAATAAGACAAACTCTGTCTCCTATCTTCATCTTGGGCTGAAAATTTGCAAATTATTTCCCCTTTGGTTGCATTTTCCTTGACCGTGTTTCCACTCATACGAAGTCCTCGAGGTTGATCGTTCGCGTCGGCAAGGGTGATTGTGAGAGTGACATTTATGGATAAAGCAGGATTTCCGTTGTCTGTACTTCGGACTGTAATCTGGTGGCTTCGTTGTTTCTCGTAGTTGAATTTGCAAAAATCTCCGCCGTTTTGAAGACAGTCACTATTGCTAATAGCCACCTAAACATAATTAAGTATTTACTACTACTGTAAATATTAAGATAATACTCTAAGAGCACAAGAGTAGTCATATTTGTAAGAAATGTGGAACAAATGTGAGTTGATTTCAATTTCGCCTTTGTTTCTTTCCAGTTGACCGAATCAAGTATGATTTAAAACATGTTCTGAATGTTGGTCAACTTGTTAACAAATTGTGAATGAAAATGATAAAATGACAACATTGTTACAACTTGTTTGACAAGCTTGCTACAAGCCTGTTGTGAACACATTTTGTTGACAAAACGCGAGATTCTTATGTCTTGGTTATAATCATGGTACATTATATACTGTGTTAGTACACGTTTCACTAGGCTCGGTCCCAGCCGTTCCCTCTTGGGGGCTCTCGTTTCACTCAATGTGGAAAATTCTAAAATCTTAATTATTAAAGCTACAACATTGGCTAAATTCTAGATCGCTACAACGAGTGCTAACAGAAATTTTAAGTCTATATTTCGCCTTCAGTTAAACCTGGTTTCCGTCGTGACCAAGTCATTTCGATGATGTGAAATAGTCTGGATCAATCTTGTCTTTTGTGTGTTTTATGTAAATCAGTTTTACTTGACCTTAGAGATATGTATACACTCTATTACATCGGTCACATTGACGTGGCTTTTTGGCAGCCCCTTTTCTACAGAATTGTCGAATTTGTACACCAATATGGCGGCCAAAAATCAAATGCTATATAGTTAAGCCATATAAGGCTTACACTCTTGGGAAGGCTGGACTGTATACGGAACAAATAGAACAGTCTGCTCTATAGCTTTCATTTCAAAACTTTTTAATGTCATGAGAAGACGATCTACCGTACAGCCGTATAAATAATGTTAGCTTTAGTCCAAATGATAACTAAATTTTAAATGCTCACCTTAAGTGTTCTTCCATCAATTTTAAAGCGTCCAGACGCCGTGTCAGTTAAGGTGTAGGTATGTGATTGGCTAGTGTCTTGGTCAGTGGTAGATAACACACCCACTACCGTGTCAATGTCTGCATTCTCCGCTATCTGACGGTTTGACAACTGAAATATGAAGTAAAAGGTCTTAAATATAACAACCTATACATAACATTTATACGTGATAGTTGCAAAACTGTATCCCAATTGTTGCTTTTGTTATAAGCTGTAGCCAGTTTTCCACTTGAACCGTATCGTAGTGTATTTCTTTGTTTCCCGAGCACTAGAGTAGAACTAATGACTCCGACACAAAAGAAAATGCTACGGTACATTACGATTGAAGTGGAAAATAGGCTTATAGATACTTGGAAAAAATCTCAGACCAGGGTATAAGTCTTAACTTACACTAGTTATGAATCTAATAACTCTAAAAAATGTAGATATCAGTTCACGTTTTTCTCCAGTATTTCATCACATTTACCAGTGAGTGAAGTTTGAAATTATCATCTTGGATGATAGCAGTCATATTCAACCATTTTGAAGAGCTTGCAACGAAAGTGACTTCATAAATTAGCGGACATATTCACACTCATTTACGTATCAAACAAATTGAAATATCTCGGAAACAAACCATAAAAACAAGAAACTGAAAAATAAGTTACGCTACAGCTTAAAGAGTTCTTTCATTTAAGAAAATAAGAAATTTCATGTCATATGCACTTTAAACTGAAGTACGTATAAGTTACAGGTTTCTGCAAACTACTCATTCAGTAGCCTATCAAAATATTTCAGAATTTGTGAGGGCCACGTATTAGCCATTCCGAAGTTGATGAGTGGACTGGGGACGAGTGTTAAAAAGTGCCCATATTAAGAAATGACCAAATCACTAAAAAGACCACCTCAAAATTAGTAAGTATACAAAGTTTGAAGACGTTTACATGAATACCTTTCAAGTAACAAGTTTTCGAAAATTGTGAAATTGCTAATTAAAAGGTTGCTTTTGGGACGCGCGTCCCCAAAAACAAAGATTACAATACATTTCATAGTAAATATCACGATTTTCGAAAGCTTATTATTCGAAGGGTATTCATGTAAACGTCTTCAAACTCTGTGTACTTACTAATTTTGAGGTGGTCTTTTTAGTGATTTGGTTCATTTCTTAATTTGGGCACTTTTTAACACTCGTCCCCAGTCCACTCATCAACTTCGGAATGGCTAATTATGGCCACGCCTTGGCAACAAAACGGATGGCAGCACCAGCAGCACCGCTGCCAGGAAAGTTTTAACAAACTATCTTTGAAGGAAATTTTTTTGCACCTTGCAAGAAATTGAGATAACAAAAATTAAAATAATAGACCTTATGCATAATGACGTCACAAGTCTTGATGCCCGCGAGGGATGCTGGTCCTAGTAGTCAAAATGGCCACTATCGAAATTTTCCTGGGCGTGGCCATCACAACGAAATGGAGACAAGGTCAATGGTTGAAAACTGGCAATTGACAGATCGAAAAGAACTCGCCTTGCAGTTAAAGTCATTATGACATCTTACCTGAATAGATGTTGGTCTTTCATTTACATCAGTTAAGGTGACTGTGATCACTTTATCCATAAACAAGGGGGGATTACCATTATCTGTGCTTCGGATTGTTAAAGCGTATCTACATAACGTAATTGTATTGGTAGTAAAGAGAAAACTCCTTTACCGATTTCGGGACAATAGGGTTTTCTATAAATCTAGAAGAAATACATAATTCACTTTCTCTCACCGTTTGTTCATTGTCTCGTAGTTCAGAGCAACAGTAGCGTGTAATTTATCCCCTATGATGGCAAACTTTCCCTCTCCCCCGGATATCAAGGTATACTTGTGTGAATCCCGGGGGTTCGGGTCCACCGATGTCAGCACTCCGATACGTGTATTGCGAGGTTTGTTCTCTGGAATACTGTGTGAACCTGACAGAAGAATCTATAAAAAAAAACAACACAAAACCATAAGTTTTTGGGCTATTAGTGGAACATTCGAAAAGTGGTTGTATCAATCCTTTAATCCCGTCTGTAAAACAGCAAAAACATAATAAAAGCCGAAATTTTATACCTTTGTATAATCCTTGAATTTTATTAATAATTTAAATCAAATATTATGGAAAAAGGTGAAAGTTTTAGAAGAAAAATTAATTCAATCTTTCTCCATAATTATACTTTTCACAATATGCTTTAGGAATGTTAAACAACTGCAGGAAATGTGTTGGATTGACGATTTGCAAATTGAAAATTTGAAGGAAATAGTTCTATGACGTCGGCCGCTATCATACTGTAACTACGCGGTGTCAAGAAATACTTGTAGGACAGCAGCCAACCAAAACGAATATTGTATATAAGTAATGCGAAATAATATAGATTGACAAACATATTTCTTTGAATTTAAAACTCTTCAACTAGGACACTATATTAATGTACAGAATTAGCACAAAAATACTCAGTTGGTCAGAAGGAAAATTTTGCGTCCAGGTAGTGCTCCCGGGAAGAAAACTATTTTCCCCAGCCCTGGTATAAGGACAGTAACCACTATACCTGAGTTGGTGGGTCGTTGATCCTTCGACAGTATGTTGCCGCTGTAGACGTCCACGTGCCATACGTTGTACACGTGACACTGTTGACGCCCTTTAGAGCGTAAGTACTGGGGCAGAGTATTGGACACGCAACTGGATACCTCGTTTGATTGTTGGGACAGGATACATTAGCATGTTTGCATGTTGTTCCGAGCTGGGTGCCTAGAAATTAATATATAAGATGATAAGATATTATTGTATGGTATGACCTGGTATGGTATGGTATGGTATGACCTGGTATGGTATGGTATGGTATGGTATGGTATGGTATGGTAGGGAATGTTATATTATGATATTGTAGCATGTGTTTCATGGTATGGTAAATTATGTTATGATAAGACGTGAATTTTTATGGTAAAAAATGGTGTAGTAGGGTATTAAAATAGACATGCCATGCCGTCGGGCACATGGACACTGTCTCGTGACTGTCCTTGAGAATTGGCTGATTGTTACATGTATTTGTTATATAGCCGTTTATTTTATTTACTAGCTTTGTCATAAATGACTGGTGACCTACAGGGCTTATTGCCCCATTCACAGGATCCCTTAAACTAAACATTTACATCAATTACAATACATTTTATCTACAAGGCTCGACAAAAGACGACATGAGTGACATTTAACACAGACAGTTTTAAACGATTGTGGTACATTAATGTCATATATAAGTTCAGTCATTTCGTGATAATATTTCAACAAGTATGATTTGAATTGGCCAATTGTGACAATTTACAAGTAATGAGTTTATAAATTACAATATTTAGTATAGATATAAAATTGAAAGAATAATACGTGTCTAGATACAAAATTTAAAAAGTTATGTATTAGTTGTAAAAATTAGGCATTAAGGAGCCAGGTCTTTAATGACTGTTTAAAAGTGTTCAATGAAGTACTCTCTCTAACATTGTTCGGTAAACTGTTCCACAATTTAATAGCTCTGTATCCAAATGATCGCTGGGCAAAGCTTGTTCTACATTTTGGGATATCAAGATTGTGGCTATTACGAGTGCTACGATTGTGTACGTCAGAACGTCTCTTTACAAAATTTTTTAAATACAACGGTACAGTACCGATTTTATATACCATTTGAGCATCTCGATAAGCTAACATGTCCTGGACTGATAACCATCCAAGGTCTTTAATTGTGGATGAATATGGTCAAATTTCCTCTTGCCAGAAACTATTCTAGCAGCAAAATTTTGAACCGGTTGTAATTTTCTTACATTCTCTTTAAAAGTACCTGCCCAAACAGTCGAGCAATAATATAATTTACTAAACACAAGAGAATTGATTATAGATATCAGCGTTTTCTTATCGAATAAGTGTTGAACTCGGCTGATCTGACACAATGATCCCATAAGTTTAGATGTAAGATTCTGGGTATGATCGGTAAAGGAAAGACATTCGTCCATTATTATTCCAAGATCTTTTGCACAGCGAACTGGCGTTAATTCCTCACCATATTGGAGTAGTATGGTATAATATGGCATACCACATGGGTTGAAATAAGCGCCGCTGGCGGTCATCAGTTGCGACCAAATTTTTCATCTGGCGACCAGATATTTGCAAAAGGTAGTCCTCGTGGCGACTGAGAAAAAACTTAAAAGTAATAAAGTAATTCTAAACGCCTAAAATATCTCAGTAACTATGGATTTTATTTTAGATTTGCATATAATTCGCGACAACTGTTTTTTTTTATGTTATCTATATACAAAGAGAATACTTCATTTTATGATTTAGAGCGACTTGGTAGAAATTAATTACAATTGTCAAATTTATTGGCCACCTTGGGCGAATAAAAAATAATTAAAACTTCAATCCCTGTTATGCTCTTCTAAATAATATCACACCCTTCTCAATTCACACACCTGAAGCGCAGTAAGTCAACGTAAGCTTCCCACAATCCTTCGCAATGCATTGCTTGCTTCCAGACAGATCATATCCAGCATTACAGGAACAAGTACCATTTGTACATTTATGTTGACAACCATTGTTTGGTGACCCACACTGCGCAGACTCCTAGCGAACAAAATAAAATTGGACAATTGAGTGTTTTAAAATCGTGTTTTCATTAACAAAACACAATTAAAATAGCATTTTTTTTATTTAATCTAAATCATATTCAGACTAATGAACACATCCGTTAAGAAAACATCGTTATATAATAACTACAGTGAAACACGCAATTTGATTGGTCAATAGCCGTGCAGGATCAGGCTATCCTGCACGAGGAATTAAAATGCTTTCGCGGGACTCGCAAAATGTCATTGTTTCACTGTAGTTATTTTATAAAACAATTGCCAAATGGTTTTCCAAGCAGGATAGCGTGATCCATGCACTTGGGATGTTGCTCGACTTTCGGAAAGCGTAAAATTACACTCGCCTGCGGCTCGAGTATTTTTACGCTTTCCCGAAAGTCTCGTGACATTCCTCGTGCATGGATCACGCAATCCTGCACGGAAAACCATTCGGTATTCCTTTATTCTAGTCATACTTTGAGCGCAGGACACGTTCTTCCTCGACACTGTTGGTTTCGCGTGATCACTCTGGTCCTTATTTTGTTCCCAACTGTACATGTTTGATCACAGTTACCCCACGATGACCACTGACCAACCTGAAATAATTAGGATCGCAATAATTAATGTCGTGGGACATGGCCCATGGGTCAGGAATTTTGGAATAATATAAAACTCAATAAAAAACCTATATAGAGGTCTCACTGGGATAGTATCTAAACACTCTGACCCCGTCAACCGAAGCTGATTTCCGCGAGGGGCATGTACAAAGAAACTGTATGCTCCGTCATACATAAAACTTCTTAATATTTTTAGTACGTGGTTTCGGTAAACAAAGTCTACTTGAAATGTTCCAAAGTTTCTAGTTTGTCATCTTACCTTCACACGTGAAAAGATTAGTGAGTGATTTGGGACCCAATTTATTAAAATAATTTGCACATGATTTCTGCTTTACTTTTCTTCCTTTCTGTTTTAAGTGGCAAAGCAACAGAATGATCTGTGCCATTGCTCATATTCATGATAATCCGAGCAGTACTATTTTAGACTTTTTGGAGTCTTTTTGAATTGACAACTTTGATGCCAATTACAATTTGCAGTTTAGGTACCCGAAGATGCAAGTTCGAATTCCGTTCGAGACAACGAATTTTCCGTTGTGTTCTGCAGTATCAGAATAATATAAATCTTTTTATACTGGATAGCTTCAGCAGTTCTAAACTATTCTTTGCAGAGGTACAAACAGTTCAATGATCCCTTATTGATCTAAGGCTAGGAGGTGAATGGCGAAAGGCATATGTAGAAATAACCTTAATGACAGACTCTACCAATACCCCTGGTCAAATATGTTACTATAAAGGGAGATAATCAGAGTATGTGGGAAAAACGTACTGTGCGCTTGGTAGAGTCAGAAACACTCTTCTCACAAGGCGAAATTTTATTCAGATGACTATATATTGAAGAAATGAAACCCAAACTACAGAGATGAAAGACATATGCACTGACATTTACCGCAGCCCTTGACTTACCTGACAGTCTCTGTTATTCCTGTAATCTGTGCACCCTTTAAATGCCTCAACGGCTCCACATTGCGTTCCACGACAGACAGGTTGTCGCGTAATGTTACGAGTTTTTCGTTGTCGCCCTTGGCCACAGCCATTGTCACAAACAGACCATGAACTCCATGCTCCCATTTGACAGTCTCGGTTGATGTATTGTGTACATACTTTTCTTTGGCTTAGCTTGCCACAGGCCCGACCACCACAGCTTGGAAGTTGCCGTCGTGTACGTGTGCGATCCGAGTTACCTAAAGGATAAAATATAACAGTAGAGTTGATGTTCGAGGTATAAATATGTTTTTAGCCCGACTCATTTTAGCTCGAGCGTTGCGAGGAATGAGTTCTGAGGAGGGCCAAAAACATATTTATGTCCAAGAATATGAACTGTATTACTATTATAATAACTTTAACGGCGATTACATTATAAAAGATAGATGGCAAATACTACATGCTGGATTAGACTATGGTTAGACTAGCACGGTTACTACAGGAAGAAAGTAATGTACCAGGGGAATAATATACCATTGCATTTCTTCAGGACACCCTTCTATTCTATAGACCCATTGCACATGACGTCACAGCGCCGGTGACGATGCATCTGGAGGACAAATTAGCAATCTATGCATAATATAACTTCTGTAAACAAAGCAAATTTTGTAAAACTTTATAATAATTTTGTCTTAAAATGGTTAATTTTTGAGCTCTCTGTGGTTGTTGTACCCGAACAGATATTGTTAGGGAGCATCTGGAGGACACTCTTAGGATTTGTGACCTCAGTGCAATGGGTCTATTGGTGATCCTGGTTTTGTCGGTTACGATGGTGCTGAACAATCATGTTTCTCAACATAGTGATAAATGCTCATCCATGAGTCCGCCTATAGGTTGCGCGGGGCCAAATCTTCCCAGGGGGGGGGGGGACTATGACGTCAGAGTTGTAAAACGGGAGCAACGATGTTTTACAATATATTACACTTTATTGCATATTATCCGCCACTGACGTAGCCAGGACTTATATTCTCGTTTAATTTAAGCTATCTTGTTTTGGGGGGCCGCTTTTGACCTGGGACCCCGGGGCAAAGTGCCCTTCCCCCTAAACATGTTATAAAGCAATAAATCACTCAAACAATGTTACCATACCCCGTCCACATGTTGAAGAGCAAGTAGACCACGTGCTCCAACTGTTCAGTTGGCAATCAACAGGACAACAACTGTGGATACAACTACGACGTTGTGATGTGACTGGGCATGCTGGACTGCAATAGTTTTGACGTGTTATTCTTCGCGTGCGCGTCTCTGTACCTGCGCCACATTTGCCATTCGTGGCGACACACGCTTGCCATTGGCTCCAAGAACTCGTCTAGAAAAAGCAAATGAATCAGGGGCCGATTGTTCAAAGCCGGCTAGCGTAACCCTTGGTTAACCTGCAATTCAAAGCGAACTTCCCAACAGCTTGTATATAAATTTGCAAATATTTCTTCAGAAATCTTGTGTATACCAAGAAGTTTTCTTTTCTGACGTTTTGAAACAACGGACGGGCAGGGGCTGGTTGTTGAAAGCTGGATCAGCGCTAACCCTGGGTTAAAATTTAACCTGCTGTTTTAGTTTCTGTATTTCTGCACATCTATTTGTTTCAAAACTTTAGAGAAGAAAATTCCATTTGATCCAGACAAGATTTCTGAAGAAAAGGTTTCAAATTTAGAAACAAGCTATCGGGAAGTTTGCTTTGAATTTTAGGTTAACCCAGGGTTAAGCTAATCGGTTTTTAACAACCGGCTCCAGCAAGTTAAATTTTACCCATACAGGATTAGCGCTAATCCAGCTTTGAACAACTGGCCCCAACACTGCGCATCCAAATTCCAAATGATGCGTCCTGCGTCGGACTGGATCAGTGTATATACTTCACCAGTTATCCAGTATTATCATGTGATCAATATAAAGGTAACTATAAAGCCAACAAATCATAACATGCTTATTTCTATGATTACTATGAATAGCAAATTGTAATAGTATTATTATATACTGTATATATTAGCAAACGTTTGCTATTTTAATATTGACTTTGAACTGGTTTAATTAATTAATTTTAAAAAAAAATTACATATAATTTGTAGGGGTCTACGCAAAAAAGCCAAATGGTTTCAAATAGACTCCTAGCCCTCTTCTTCCTTAATATTACTATTTTCATGTTCATAAATAAATATTATTGGGCAAAATCAAATACATATATAAAAAAAAATAGTTAAAAAGTAATCAGTGGCAAGATAAAGTGCTCCGAAGCTGATGTCTCAATCACGAAAACCGCTGTATAGCCAAGGTTGAGTACTCTCTGGAAGGGTGCAATAAATGAAAGCCATAATATCTTGTAAATTTAAAATATTTCTTATTTATTTATATCTTTCTTATCTAATATAACTTATTATACTACAATATCGGTTATATCGGCAATAAAAATCCCGATACAGTCATTTTGAATTTAGGGCCGATATACCGGTATCCAATAAATCGATATGGATATCGGTTATGATGTTCGAGATCGCAACTTACTTGACATGTGATAGGAATAGGCGTACACGATTGACTGCCTGATGTTGATTGAGTACATGAGCCACCACAAGAAGCTTGCGTTGTAACACGTCTTGATCTCGTCTGTCTTCCACTGTTCTGCGCACAACTACCTGGAAAATACTCTGAGAGATAAGCTTCTTTATTGAAAGAAAACGTTACTGGCGAAGGAAAAGTGTCAGATAGCTAGGCCGGATTTTGGGAAGTGTTCTGGATCACTGGCTTTCCTTGGTCATTCAAGGGGGGGGGGGGAGGATTGCCACCCCGATTTTTTACCGACCAAAAGGGAGTTGCCCCACTCATCCCCTCCCTTAAGTCAGACGAACAATTCAACTTGTTGTTCAACATCCTCCAACTGGTACAATGTGATTCAATTTGATGCACATTCTATATTGTACAAGTTCTTGATAAAAAAGGAGTATATCAAAATTTTACAGATAACCACTCCCTGTTTACCGATCAACGTTCCATTTTCCATTTATTTCATGTGCAGAACTAATTAAAGCAACGCATAAAATTTTTAAAAAAATTTTCTATTTCAAGCGTATAGAACAATTAGCGAAAAATTACGCAACACATAAAATTTTAATAACAAACATTAAAGTCAATTGTATAACAAAGCTGTAACAATATTTTTCAACCCTGAAAGCAATGGTAGCCTATATATTTAGCTATATATATATTGCATAAAATGCAAGGCAAAAGAGTTTAATGAACTAAGCGGATTTCAAGCTAAAACACATTGTCATACATTGACAACCTAATCCTCACCACCACCACCAATATTTCGCGAAGTGTCTGCCACTCCCAGAAATAAAACTTACTTGATGAACACTTGCTCCAAGCCGTCCACGACGACAACACACAGTTGCGAGCACAACATGGTCCTGAACATGCCTTACTACTCCTTGTAGTTGGACACGCTGTTCCACCACAGGACTGTCCCGTGGTGACTGGCCTTGTTCGAGTCCTTGTTCCACTTCTCTCGCACGCAGCGTTGCACGTTCCCCAGGAACCCCAGCCACCCACCACACAGTTGACAGGGCAACATCTACATGAAGACAAATATAAAAGATCAGACATCTATGTAGCGTCAGCCTCTTATAGAATAATTGCCAAACTCATTTTTTAAAGGGGCAGTATGATCAAAATTTTTATTCTCTTAAACCAAAGCTTAAACGAAAATGCTCTTAAAACTGTATAATAACTTGTGTTGAAGATTTTTGTTCTCATGCTTAGTTCTTGTTTGTAACCATCTGACGTCATTTACTCAATTACATATATAATGAGATATCAGTAATTGTTGTGTATCTTTTGCGATTTGTTAAAAAACACAGTATGCTTAATGATGCAGGTTAAATTAACAAACGCGCCGCATCTTTCCAAATATTTTGATAAAAATAGCAAAGATACACAACAATTACTGATATCTCATTATATATGTAATTGAGTAAATGGTTACAAACAAAATGAAATATCTCAAGAACTAAGCATGGGAACAAAAATCTTCAAAACAAGTTATTATACAGTTTTACGAGCATTTTTGTTTAAGAAAATAAAAATTTTGATCATACTGCCCCTTTAATTTTCGAGAAAAACCTGATTTTTATGCAAACCAAAACGTACTCGTGACATAGGCAAATGTTGTTTACGGCAAAAACAATATACGTTATTTCAATAGTTTTGGGTTTTGGGGGATATCCTGTATACGCCCTCTGCCAGGAATCCAACCTGCGGCTATCCTATCAAGATCAGTGAACTGTAATATGGAACGCTAACTGCAGGTAAACATGCCCATACTTGCCCGAAGCCAAGATGGCGCTTCTCGCAAGCTCAGCGAGCAATAAATTAACTTTCAAAAGGACTGGGGAGAGTTTCGAGGAGCGGGAAATTCAGTCAAAAGTTTGTTTTTGAGCGAAAATCAGCAAGAAAAAGCACTTTTTTATCGAAAGTCTTCAATTTTAAAGATTCAAACCTGGTTTCCTGGACAGTTCTAGGTATTTTACATCCACTAACAGCAAAAACTTCCTGGGTAACAGCTTGATATTCAAAATATTACAAAAGTTTGAACGTGCCGAAAAAAACATCGCACTTTGACTCCTGAAAAAAGAACTTTATAACTGCTCTACGTTCTGGAAACATGTTTTGTATTAAATTTCAGGTATAGTTGAAAGTTTTTAGCTTTTTTCCTTGTTGAAATACAGCTATTTAGTGGTCGAAAACAGACATCTTTTAGGCGGCGTATTTTCCACTCCATACCTACATGGCGGCCATCATGAGTGGCTTCAAAGATGGCGGCCAAGTTATCGTTCCAGTTCTCTTAGAGTTCACTGGTCAAGATTACCAAACTGTACTTAAAGGAATACATTTTTTTATTATTTCATTTGGAAGAACTTTTAAAATTATATGTAAATCTCTTTTACCGATTTTGCGTAACTTTATTATTTCTTGAGATATTTGAACAGAAAAAATCACAAATCAGCGAGTTTTCCGCCATCTTGGATTTTGGCGGATATGCATGTGACATCATAAGCAGGGTCACGCAAGAATTTTATCCATAGAGCAATTGGTTATTGTGAGCCCAAAATCATATACTTCAGTAACTATTAAATAAAAAACTGTCTGACGACTTTTCAAACAAGACCTAATGTGATTTGGTCATTTAGATGTAGTTTTATATGGCTAACCCTGCTTATGACGTCACTAAAATCACCGATAATGAGATAAAAATTAATCCAAGATGGAGGATAGCAAATTATTTTAAGTCAAAATACTTCAAGAAATAATAAAGTTATGCAAAATCAGTACAGAAGATTTACATATAATTTTAAAAGGTTCTTTAAAATGAAATAATAAAAAATATATTGCCGTATCCCTTTAAACAATAAACTAATAACTATATGAGGCTAATTTTAAATACATTAAAAACTTCTGCAATAAACGTCGGCACGCGTTCTCCATAAAATCCTTAAACCAATAGTATAAAACCATTAACATAATTTAACCAGACATATTGATGCGAAGTGTAAACGACGTGTCGGCTTATTAGTTTGATGAAAAGTAAACAACGACTGAAGGGTAATATAAACTTTCATTTAAACAAAATTGCTAAATGTAGAGTGATTTATGATATATATGCCTGGGGGATTAGAGGCACCCTGCGACCAGGGCTCAATTATTGCAGTACGCGAGTCTCCCCCCCCGCAAAAAAATTATGTTGTTTGATTTAAGCAATATGATGCGATCATTGACTGGTGCAAACCCTGGGTTAAATTTAAGCTGCGTTTTATGTTTGTGCATGCATATCTTGTTTATTCCAAACCGTGGAAAAGTAATCTTCTAGTCATCCAGACATGATATCCGCAAAAAATACTTCGATGCTTATGATTAAACTAGGTTATACCTAAAATCGGTTGTGTATCCAACATAACACAGGTTCACTACCAGCCAATATGTTATTCTGTTTGTATGTCTAATTGTGATTCTAAAGCGCTCTTAATCGTATGCATAAGTCTAGCTAACAAGATGGTGGGCAGTCTGTATCTCCTGGGGGTATAGTTAACCTTTTAAGTGGTGAAGCATTATATTCCAGTTTGTGTTGGACATAAACCAAATACATAGACAACAGCTGAATGCGCTTTATTGCTTGCATCGACAAAGGCGGCGAAGCCCCATGCAAATGATAGTGTAATACCTCAAATAATCTAATCGGCTTACAAAACAACCGGCTACATTGGTTTAAAAATCAGCAAAAACGTAGGTGAATAACTTGATAATGCTACCTTAACTATGATTTTTAGTTAATGGACGACTTGCGCTTTAGACTAAATTTTAATCTAAGTAAGAACAACGAAATATATCACCACAGCTAGAAAGAGCGTCTTGGAATTAGTAATATTACAAAGTTTGGTTGCGAAATGTTGTAAAATACGGAAAATATAGCCCTTCAAAGTTTTGTATTACGTGCGTGAATTGGTAACTAAATTAGTTACCAATTTCCGCACGTAATAGAAATGTATACAAATTTGCCAACTTCGCAGGGCTATATTTTCCGTATTTTACAACATTTCGCAACCAAACTTTGCAGTTTTTCTAATTTTGATAACCTCTTTCCGAAAATATCCTTTGTTATTCCCAGATTAAAAATTTTTCTAAATCGCAAATCGTCCATTGTCAGAGCGTTTGATTCATAGTCTATCGAGATATGATGGTCTGAAACTAAACAGAACTCATTGCGTTATGTTTTTGTCTCAGATTATGCTAATTTGTGCACGGTCAAGGTGATTGGGCTCATTGTATTTTCGTATACAGTATAATTAGATAAACATCCAACAGGGATAGCCAAAATGAAAGTGCAGCCACGATAATATTTAATGAAGTTGAGACAAAGGATTTGCGCACGGTGAGATACAGTTCAACATTAAACATTAAACAAAAGTCTTCTATATATTTTGTGCGGGCTTTGAAGTTTGCAGGGCTTCCAGGAAACCAACATATCTTCACAGACTTCACAGACTTACATTATAACAATATTTCATTGAAATGTAGAACATTCAAGGTTATAATAAAAGTGCTGTGAATGCTAAATTCTATTTATAGCTATACCCTTGGCTCGTAACCTTGTGACCTTGCTACATGACAATGTGAATAATTTCGAGATTGGGCAAGCCTGGGCAAGCCTCAAACATAAACAGGTGAATCGAGTTCCTGGAAGCTTTTAATGACCAGAAATTTCACCCTTACGTCATTGTATTTTTGACCAAACATTAAAATAAAACAAATTTAATACCTTACTTGTATTAAAATTTGCGCATTAGCTATAACTAAGATATTTTAGTTCTTGTTGGTATTTTGAACTCACATTTTATTGCTATCATAAATTTTGCTTACATTACATAATTTTGAAGCCATTCTTTGAGGTCACCTAATCGCTTTTGGATTAAGTTTTGACAAATATACTGCAATGCCATATAATATATATACTTGTTTACAAAAGCGTTTTCAAAATCTAGGACGGTCTTGTGCCGAGATAGAATTAATGTGCGCCACCATGCGTACGTTCTCTGAAATCTACATGTGCAGGACGTTTTATATTTGACTTACACAAGAAATTTTTATTTTGGGATTTTACTGCCAGGAAGAGAAATACATCGTCCAGGCCTGCCAGAATCTTTGGCCATCTACCAAACTGACATTACGTAATTTGATCAATTTCTAAAGTTGTTTCTTTCTGGATTTTTTATTAATTTGGTTAGGGTTAGGGTTAGAGTTGAGGTTGCGTTTAGGGTTAGGGTTAGGAGTTAGAGTAGGGGTAGGGTTTGGGTTAGTTACATAGCCATTTAACACCTCTTCCATCTTCCGGAAATGACGTCACGTCAATTTCACAGATGGAAACTAGTGCTAACCTAAATCTTTCGCCACTAATGCCAACACCTCAGAAGTGAGATAAGATGAGATCCGTTGAAAGTTAATCAGGTCCCTATAATTGGAACTTCCTACGAGCCATGAAAATTGACCATGTCTGTACACTGTCTCGGACAAGCATGATAAATTTAGAAATACAAGATGATATGTCCACTAGATTATGCTGTAATGTATTAAAACCATGCCTGTACAAGTCTGACACAATTCATCGTCAAGTCAATATGTCAGAAATGAAATAGGATAAGATATCGACAGAAAGTAAATTAGATTTATATAATTGGACGCTGTCTCAAACAAGCATGAAAAATATAGAAATGGAATAAGAGAAGATGAGTAAAGGCATCAGTTTATGCTGTACCACATTGGACCATGCCTGTACAAGTCACCGCAAAGTCGATATACTTCGGAAATTTAATAAGATAAGATCGACAGAAAAAAAAGTGAATCAGGTTTCTATAATTGGAACTTTCTATATACGAGGCTTGAAAAACACTGTCTCAGACAAGTATGAGAAAGTTAGAAATTTAGCAATGGAGTTAAAAAAAGATGAATAAAAGTATGAGTCGTTAGGTTATTGGACCATGCCTGTACAAGGCTGACACAATTCACCGCCAAGTCAATATTTCAGAAATGGAGTAAGATAAGAACGACTGATGGTAAATCAGGTTTCTAATCGGAACTTGCTGTAGGAGCGTTGAAAAACAAGTCTTAGACAAGCATGAAAAATTTAGAAATGGAATAAAACAAGAATGTTCAATTCATTTTTCTTTCAGTATCTTACTGGGATAGCAATTTTAGTATCCGCTACGAGAATCCGGTGTCCCACATGTGGATACAGGTTACCGTAAGTTTGCCATTCCTGACACATCCAAACAGTGAAATAGGTTTACGGTACATGTCTCTGATGAATTAATTCCCCATGATTGATGCGCATGAGCCTTTTGGAAACTTCTGGTCTCAAATGTAGAAATCAAAGGCTGGTTATATTCAACGTGGCAGACTCATATTGATGGTGAAATTTTGGGAGACCACCAGAAACATTTAATATACTATCCTGTTGCTTGAGATTTGTAGTATCCCGTCAGGATACAAGACATTCACAGTTTGGTATCCAAAACCAAATTTTAGCATCCCGTGGATATTGGATACTGCAATTTCAGCCCCTGTTGACATTAGATCACGCTGCATTATATTGGGCTATGCCCATACAAGTCTCACACAATTCACCGCCAAGTCTGATAAGATTCATAGAAAATGAACAAGGTTTCTTGGAACTCTGCATATGTCTAGAAATTCAAGCTTTGGCAATAATACGCATTACTTTTGGCCATGACTGCGCAAGCCTGCTACAGTACATACGTCAACACTTCAGAAATGAAATAAGATCCAAAAAAGTCAACAGCATTCATGTTTCTTTTCAGACAACAAGGTGCCTACTGTATAGCGAGAATATATATCTGCGAGTTTAGAATAATGTTCAAGGTACCTAAGCTGAGGCAATGTGAGAATGATATGTACACGTATGAAGAGCGCTATATATTACATATAGACGCGAACTAAATGTTTTTTGTTGCCATGTGGTAATTAGAAACTTCCAGAGGCCAATGTGAGATTTTCACCTTCATTGTGCCCTTGTCTTTGAGCCTAAGGCCAAGGGCATGCGCATGCATGCGTCCTTCAGTTTCAAGAGCAATACTTGAAATATTACACACAATATATAGAGAATAATACATGGGGGTGCGCGGAAATACCAGATTTATTTCGAGTGTTGAACATGATATCTCACGAGTGAGCGCAGCGAACGAGTGAGATATCATGTTCAACACGAGAAATAAATCTGGTATTTCCAAGCACCAATGTATTTTTCTGTTTATTATATAAACAAAATTCAGTGAAAAACAATAAAACGTCCTGGCAATGCGTTTTACAACAAATTATATTTTCACACGTAAAAATATCGCATTTTTTACGTGTGTTTAAATACGATTTTTCTCAGTGGCCAAAAACTCTATATAACACTTATGTTTATATAATAAATTGCATTACGTAGAAGATTATATTTTCAAAAACAGATTAATAGGTTTTTGCTGTAGTGAATCCTAGACACTCCTGTGATAATGGAACTATTCGAAGATTACCACCCCAAGTCCTGTGTTAATATTTGCATTTTATAGGATAATAAGCTATTATAATATGTACCAAAAGATAAGAGGATATTATGATATACAAGGTGACCATTAGAATTAGGGTTAGTATTAGCGCATATTAAATTAATTTGTTTCTAAGTTGAAATGTCCAGTCAACCTGAGCAGGAAGAGACTGGGATGTCTGTTCAGTGGTATTAGAGAACCTTTATTGAAATTTTATGTTTTCGTGGTGTAAATTTCTAGTTGTGATTTATGTGTGGGGTTTGCCCTGTTGGGACTTCAGTCGGTTCGCCGATCGGCCCGATCCCATGCATATCTAACTCTCCTTTGTCTCCTTAAACGTCTTTTGTTGCGTTCTCGCACGGCGCTTTATTATGCTTGCGAGTATGATTTTTTAAAAAGCTTATTATTATTATTATTATTATTATTATTATTATTATTATTATATATTGATCTGGTTCACATGTTTTATGCTGATTAAACACTGTGCTGACTGCTCAGCATCAAACTTACTAGAGGTCGAGTTGAAACAAGCTTATGGCATCACGGAACATTGACGCAAAAATTTGGAATTAAAATTGTCTCTTTGAAAAAGGTTTCCATTCATGAATTCATCATTTTAACACGGAAACTTCGACACCAATAATAATCGGTCTTTAGTGTTATAATCCATCTCTCATGTTGATTGGGAATTGATTGAAGATCAGAATTCAGAACCAAAGACAACAGTTTTCAAGTACATGCACGCATAAATACTTTATTCCCAATCCAAACGCTCAGAGTTTTCAAATTTCCATCTCAAAACCAATACCATATAATTGGGTATATAATGGATTTTAAAAAGTCGTGCGAATAATCAACAGAACATTAATTACGCCAGCCAAAGTTTGTTTCCTCCAAACCAAGGAATTCTAAGCTCGGTTTTAGCAACATAGAAAATTTTGCTTCACCACGGGATATTAATGTCACAGAAACTAGTACCTATAAATATGCTTTGATCTCTGCGATAGGGTTTCGAATCGCTAAACATATTTTGAGCAAAGAACTGGAAATGCAACACCACAGCCGAAAAGAGCACATGAGAATTAGTAAAATTGCAAAGTTCGGTGGTAAAATATTACAAAATAAAGATGATATGGCCTCGCAAAATTTGCACATTTTATATGTTATTATATATTGCGGAAGTGAATATTTACCTACCCTGCAAACAATGGCTTCCGCAATATAAAAGTATATAAAATGTGCGAACAAGGCCATATTATCCTAACCAAACTTTGCAATTTCATTTTAATTTTGGTTTTCATGGCCCTTGCTGGACTCTAGATCTAGAAAGAACAGTTCAGAACACGATAGAGGTGGTAATCACTAACCAGACAGTGTATATATAATAAAAGTTAGTCGAGTTTTAGATACGGAGATTCCTACACCAATAAGGGGTGATCCTTACTTCAGACACGGAAAAAGTGGGATTTTCTATTTTTCACACTTTCAATTTTTTCACACTTCGGGAAACATTATATCCTGCTTTCTTATCTGTCATTTGAGACATGGAACAGAAATGCCGAGTCACGTATACGTCAATGTTTTTCGCATACATAATGGCGCAATGTACGGTCAAATTTTCCATTGTTTTTACGCACTTTGAGGAATACTAGCAAAAGGCAAATTCGTAATCCGAGGAACGATTAAAATACCCTTTTTCCAGTTCTGTCTTACTTAACCTCCAGAGAGAACAATCTAGACAAAATTGACACCCTATAATAGAACTATAATCTATATCCAGCAGAAATAAAGTTGTTTTAAATATTCTAACCATTAGATTTAAACAAAACTTTGAACTTTCATTTTCCTTGTTGATCATGGTATGTATGCAAATTTGAAACGCGGCTCTCCTCACCTTACGACCTTGAATGGAGTTTGAGTTTTGGTCGTTACGGCGGATGGGGAGGGAAGGGTTAGGGGCATATCCTTAATAGCTTATTTGCAATACAGCTGTAAGATCTGCATTCCCCGGGCACCCTGCTGCAGAAACTATGGTAATGATCATGAAGTAATAAACATAAACATAGTACACGCCTACCGTCCGTTCCCACATTTGCTAGTCTGCGTTCTCGTAGTCGGGCAGCGTCTTCCACCGCATTTCTCACTTGAAATAATCCTCATGGAACGCGAACGAGTGCCGTAACCACACGTTACACCGCAAGCGGACCAACTGAGCCACGAATAGCGACAATCTATAGGGCAGCATGTATTTGGACAGGAGGCTTGATCCCTCAATATATTAGAACACCTTCCACCGCACGACGCGGAGCTTCTGATAGTCCTTGTCCGTGTCTTGATACCAACGTATCCGCATTGTGTAGTACAAGAACTCCATCCACCCCAGCCGTTGTAAGTGCAATCCCTTGCATAGCACGACGGCGATCTTCTTCGGCTCGGACAGGCATTGGAACGTGCAAAAATGTAGAATAATATTGTGGCTATAACCGCAACTCGCCCGAGGCCCATGCGGACTGAGTTTCTAGTAGACATAAAGTAAACGTATCTACGCTCTTGTTGTTTCTAGAAGATAGCTGATGGAAACGCCGTTGATGACACGTTATGTCAGTTTAATGTCTGTTGTAGGTCGATTATTGTTGAAACACAGCTCTTCAATAGCGTAGGATAGAAGCTCGATTAAATGATACTGCCAGGCGATCTTGAGAAATAGCAATCCAATGATGGCAGATTAATGCGTGTGTGCCAGTATTGAGAAATCCTTTCACTTTGTAGCAATGAGATTCACGTAGCAGCAGTGTTCTAGAGTTTGCGTGCGTTATACCAGCGGATCACTTTATACCAACGGATCAGCCTGTGTCTGATACCAGCCAACTTTTCCAGTATACAGGAATCTTATTTTTTGACTTTGTAACAGTAAGATTTAAGCATAGATATGCATACAATCTTGTGTTTAGCAACAATATTACAGTATAGATACTACTCGTCTATTCCTTTTGTAGCGGACCAAGTTCGAGCTTGCGTGTGCTCGCACCAACTTGATTCTCAACGATACTTTAAGGAATCTGAACCAATTGTTCAGGACTAATTTAACACTTGAGTATACCAAATTTCCGACCACTGTTATGTCAATCAGTACTGTTCGTTTCTTGTCCTTCACGCTTGACGTTTCTTGTCCTTCACGTTTATAAATTATTTGATCTACCAAGTGCGCAAATGCGCAGACCGACCAGAAATGACAATATTTTCCTTTGCATACAGAGTTTATATAAGTACCGGTTTATTACTGGACATGAAAATGGGGAATGTTATTCCCCAAACAAATCAGACCACGAAATTCCACAGGTGGTGATTGGTTAATTCGCGCCGACGAACATGCCTGTGCTCATATTTCAAAATAATGGTGCTCGAGTTATCGCGGTATATATTAGAATTTGCTGGTTATCAAGAAAGCAAATATTATGCTATAGAGGATAATAACTTTTATCAACTCAACAGTTCACACATGGACATGTTCTTTGAGGCCAAACATTCCTAAATTCACAGCACAAGTTTGAAATAAAAAATTTCAAACGCAATATGTGGTTGTGTTGGTTTTTAATATCTGCATGTCCACTGGTGTATCCCGCGGTTTCTATGCTAATGTATAAGGCGGCCCAAATACTCCCTCAGGCAAATATTCCCAGGCCTGGACAAGTATGGCTCCTATAGCGCCAAATATGTTTTTATTTAGCTGCTTCATGTAGATTATGGTTTATTTTATTATTTAAAATAACCAAAACATTTGGTTCGCTACTTCATAAAAGCTGCGGGTATAAGGAAAGTTTAACTGGAACACTCTACTCACCACTAGCACCATAAAACAAATAAATGATACTTGTCTAGGCAGGTTGACGGTTGGAGGATGCTGATGTTGTGCTGGTAACTATTGTGATGGTGATAGCAGATGACTATCACATCGGAGAATACTAAGGGTTAAACAGTCAATAATAACTGCAAAAATATTCTGTGAAATGCACATGTGTCAAGCATCTATTTTTGCGTTTGGTTCAACAAAAATGGAAGCAAATAAACTGCTCAAGCTTAATAAACAAAATTTCCTATAACGCTGGCAATAACAGCTTCTGGGGACCGGCGTTTCTGTAGCAATCGTATAACATATACATCTGCATGCTAGCAATCGCCAGTCTGTACTGTTTGGTCTGTATGTGAGTATACAATGCAATCAACCAGCTGATCAATGCTAAACACTAGTCAGTAGGAAATAGCAATAAGAAACCGTTTCTGAATGACGTAATTGATATATTTTGAAATTTGAAAAAGCCATAATTCAGTGATAATATTGCGACGTTTATAAATAATAAATTATTAATAATAATAATAATAGGATTGAAACAGTAACACGATAATATTATTACAGCATAGCTGATGTCGTGTCAGTGGTGTAGCTGATGTCGTCTCATTGCCGTGTCAGTGGTTTTATATGTGTTTGCGATGTTACTCTGAGTGCATATCCACACCGGGCGAGCTTGAAAAATATGCCCGGACACGGTGGGAATCGAACCTACGACCTTTGGAATACTAGCCCAATGCTCTTCCAACTGAGCTACGCGGTCAGGACGGTTCGAGTAAGTGATATTTCGAAACAGTATCTAGTTCCTTCAATACCAATGTGTTCTAGTAATATGAATTTTTCAAAGGTCGTAGGTTCGAATCAAAGGTCGTAGGTTCCAAAGGTCGTAGGTTCGAATCGCACCGTGGCCGGGCATACTTTTTCAAGCTCGCCCGGTGTGGATATGCACTCAGAGTAACATCGCAAACATATTATTCACCTGAGTACACAACACCAACACAGAAAAATTGGTTTTATATGTGATAAAAAATCATGTTCAATTACATAAACTTTAGCCTTGATTTTCTCGGCTTAGACAACGTTTATTTTTATAATTACTTCACCAATGAACTCTTTAGATGTGTCGGTTTTTCAGCCATTTAGAACGCCCACAGTCCGTGCTTTACCAGATATAAAACACACGAGCTGCGCTCTCGTGTTTTATATGAGTATATCTGACAAAGCACTCCTGCTCGTGTTTTTACTAGTTCATAAAAGGTGGCTAATTTGACTAACTAAATTAATATTTCACATAACTACATACAACAGAAATCACATTATTTTAACAGCACCAGGAATAAGGTTGAACAATTTTTGGAACATATTTCAAAGAACCACTTTTTGTTTCGAGATTTTAGGTGATTACTTTAGGTAATAACCATTTTTACGTACGTTTATTGATTCGGATCAAATACCATTGGTTATATATGAAATAACCAATTTATGGCGACGTAATATAAGTTGGTAACATTAATTAGGCCGCTTGATTTTTGCATTGTTGACACTATGTTCACTTTTAATATTTCGCATTGTGGATATATAATAAATTTGCTATAATATACACGCACTTCTCTAATACTTCCCTAATGTGGACACCTCTCGAATACAGACATCTTCCTAATAATATGTACACCCCTCTAATACGCACATCTCTCTAATATAGAGCCGTCTCTAATGTGGACACATCTCCAATGCCGACACCTTTCCAACACGGACACCTCTCTAATATAGAAATGTCTTTGACAGGGACACGTCATATACGGTCCCTTCTCTAATATAAAAACGTCTTTAATATGGATACCGTTGTAATAGAGACACCTGTCTAACACGCACACTTCTCTAACACGGACACCTCTCTAATACGCATACCTCTCTAATACACACAACTCTCTAATAAGCACACCTCCCTAATACGCACACCTCTCTAATACGCACACCTCTCTAATACGCACCCCTCTCTAATACGCACACCTCTCTAATACGCACACCTCTCTAATACACACACCTCTCTAATACACACACCTCTCTAATACGGACACCTCTCTAATACGCACACCTATCTAATACGCACACCTCTCTAATACGCACACCTCTCTAATACACACACCTCTCTAATACGGACACCTCTCTAATACGCACACCTCTCTAATACGCACACCTCTCTAATACGAACACCTCTCTAATACGGACACCTCTCTAATACGGACACCTCTCTACTGCGCACATCTCTATAATATAGACACCTCTCT